CCCAGGCGCAACAGGCGGCACCTGTGGCAGCCACTCCGAGGAGCGGACGGGGAAGCACGCGGGGGAGAGGCGGGGGTCGAGGAGCGCGCGGAGGGCAGCGGAGTGCAGGCCAAGCGGCGAGAGGGAATCCGCGCCAACTACCGAGCCCAATCTGGTTGGGGGAGCCGGCGGAACGAGTCACGCGCCAGTCGTTTGCTAGACGCGGGGGGAGAAGGGGAACGATAGCGCAAGCAATAAGAATCGGTGATACAAACGCAGAAAGGAGCGGCGACGAATATGTACCGTCAGATCTGAGGCAACCCGACAACCCCGACTCACCTCTCGCGGAAGCGGGGGAGGACCACGCGCAGCAGCAGGAGAGGGATCCTAGACGCCGACAGAACCGCAGACCCCAACCCCCTCCAGACCAAGCCCTGTCAGCGTCCCAGCTGGCATCGAGGGAGGATCTCTTTGAGATCGCGAACAGCTGGGACTCTTCAACCCTATTGTCCGCCGCCTTCCGCCGCAGATACTAAGCGACTACTCCATCTGTATGCTGGCCGCCCTCTTACGGATCTCCAAACTGCCCAACTGCGCGGGAGCGTGGCGGGTCCTCATGTTCCTACCACGTCTCACCTTACGACTTAGCAGGAGGTCCAGCTCGAAGTGGAAGGTGCTGCAAGAGCAGATGCACCTATTCAGATGTGGCCACTGGAACCAGCTCTACAGTGACTACGTGGGGTCCCTGCACCAAGCTGAGCCACCTCAGCACCAAAACGACCCCCTGGGAATCTGCTCACGTGTGGAGGGGCTGGTGAAACGAGGTAACCTGCGAAAAGCGTTGGCAGCCCTTTCACCCTCGCCAGCGGCCCCTGCGACGATCGCAACATTGCAGCAGTTGGAATTGGAACATCCCCAACCCCAAGTTGAGCTGCCCGACTGGGTCCACACCTACACAACTCCCACGCAATTTTCGTGCACCGCGGAAAGTTTCTCAGTCGTCCTTGGGGATTGCCCCAGCGGAGTTGGGGCTGGTCCATCCGGGTCAACATTTGAACACTACCGCGACCCAGCCCTAAGCAACATCGAAGTGCTGGGGCACCTACACTCCGCCGTAACACATCTTCTCTCCACGAATCATTCCGCCAAGGTTGCAGCACTACTCTCGCCATCCCGCCTCATCGCCTTCGCGAAACCAGGGGGGGGGGGGGGGGTACGCCCTATCGCAATAGGGGAATCCCTACTCCGGTTGGCAGCAAAGGTGGCACTCTCGGAACTGCAAGGAGAAACAAGGTGATTTTTCTTACCCCAACAATTCGGTATGGCAGTCCCAGGCGGAGCTGAGTTCGTTATACATGCAGTCAGAGACCTCACCACTTCACAACCTTCCAGCCTAGTCCTCCAACTCGACATTGAAAACGCTTTCGACTCCGTAGAGAGGAAAGCGTTCTTCAACGCACTCTACAACACCCCGCTAGCACCGCTCATACCTTTCACCCACTCCTTCTACGCAACGCCTTCTCAGCTGCTCACCGATCCTCGCTTGAGCACGACGGCACTTACCAGCGGAAGGGGGGTGAGGCAAGGGGACCCCCTCGGACCCCTGCTGTTCGCGGCATCAATCCAGCAGCACCTCAGACGCACAGCAGCAGAGCACCCAGAAGTCACGATCCTAGCATACGCAGATGACATCACCATGGTCGGACCGGCGACAGCAACGCTCGGCGCGCTTAAGCTACTGACGCCGCTGCTCGCCCAGGATGGCCTCACCTGCAACCTCAGAAAATCGTCGGCGTGGTCTAGGGATGAGCAATATGACGAACTCCTGTTCGGTTCGCCTCGAACGTGGCCTAAATTGTTCGGGGCGAACGTGTTCGGTGTTCGCCCGAACACGTTTGCCGTTCGCCCGGCTCAGCTCGTCAAGGCGCGTCGAACACGAACGTGTTCGTGCTCGACACGGGCCTTCGACAAACACCAATGTGTTCGTCGACAAATAGGCCCGCGACCAATTTTTAGGTCGCGGGCCTTGGTGTTTGGGCTCAGATCTGGCCTTTCGCAGTTAGTAAAGTGCAGATCTAGCATTTTGCCATTGCTTAAGTGCAGATCGAGCATTTCGCCGTTGCTTAAGTGCGGATCGAGCATTTCGCCGTTGTTTAACTGCGGATCGAGCATTTCGCCGTTGCTTAAGTGCGGATCGAGCATTTCACCGTTGCTTAAGTGCGGATCTAGCATTTCGCCGTTGCTTAAGTGCGGATCGAGCATTTCGCCGTTGCTTAAGTGCAGATCTAGCATTTCGCCGTTGCTTAAGTGCGGATCTAGCATTTTGCTGCTGCTTAAGTGCGGATCTAGCATTTCGCTGTTGCACGCTGGCACTAGATGGATGAAGCAGGGCGGGACTGGCTTGGGAAGTGGGGGGGGGGAGAATGTGCGACGATTTGAATTTTACTCTATATTGAATTTCCCCCTGGGCGAACACGAACATGTTCGCCACGAACATGTTCGTGTTCGCCTGTTGCAGCAATTCGTTCACCTCCTAGGGCGAACGGCGAACACCTATTTTCACTCAAGTCGTTCGCCGAACCGAACAGTGCCATGTTCGTCAGGGGGCGAACACGAACATGTTCGAGTTCGCCCCCTGCTCATGCCTAGCGTGGTCCACGACGCCGCTTGAGGGTGACGAGCTCCCCGCGGGCCTACCGCTCACCCACGAGGGGGTACGGGTGTTGGGAAGTCCCGTGGGGTCATAGCGCTTCTGCGCTGACCTGGTCCGCAGTACTCTGACAGACGCGGCGGCACCCCTGGGCTCCCTAGCATCCATCCATCCACAGCATGCCCTCCTGCTCCTGTCCCTCTGCATCAGCCGCAGAATCGGCTACTTGCTGCGCACCACCCCAGCGGATGTCCTTCCCCTCTCGGAATGGCACGCGTGGTGCGCCGAACTGCTCAACACCGCCCTGACTGCCGCCAGCATCCAACCACCCCGCCGTGAAGCCGAGTTCAATTTTCTCATCCGCCAAGCAACCCTCCCAGTGGCCCTAGGTGGACTGGGCCTCACAGATCCCACAACAGAGGCCGCACCAGCCTAGCTGGCCTCAACGACAGAGGCATTACGCCTGCTCCGCTCACTCGACCTGCCAGCAACCGCGGCGCAAGGGAGCAACAGCAACGCCCTGCAGCCGTCTGCGGCACACTCAGTCACCATCCAAGACATGGAGGGACGTCTGCCGCCGCTGGCGGTGCAATACCTCCGTGAGGAGCAAGAAACCCCGTCCCAAGTCCAGCTGCAGCAGGCCCTCTCTCAGGAAGTGCACGCGGCAAAGGCCGACACCCTGACAGAGGAATCACGCTCAATCAAGTCAGCCCCCGAGATGGGCCACACGCTCCGCCTCGTCAGCCTGAGAGGCGACGGAGCGGGAGCATGGCTGCAAGCCCTACCCCTGACCCCAGACCTCTGCTTCTCACCAGGGCAATTCCGAACAGCCCTGGCCTTCCGCATGGGCATCCGACAGAACGTACCTACCGTGTGCGAGTGTGGAGAGCTCGTGGCCGACTGCAGCCTACCCAACCACCTACTCCGCTGCAGCACAGGCCCGGACAGAACTCGCACACACAACCAGCTGGCCTTTGCCGTGGCAAAAATGGCGAGGGAGGCGCAGCTGGTGGTATACCTGGAGAATGCAATGTACTCACCACCGGATGACCCGAAGAAGGCCGATGTGATCGTGCGTGACCCAGACAGTGGAGAGACCTGGATCACAGACACGACTATCACCAACCGTGTGCTACAAAACCGGGACCCCACAGCCCGCAAACCCCCAGGCTGGGCTGCAAGGGAGTCACGGAGGCGGAAGGAGAGGGACTACTACAGGCACACCGTGTCAGAATATTGTAACTTATACATTTGTGTAGGCTGTAGTGGGGCAGCCCATAAGGGGTACAATCCAATTAGGGTTAGTACTTGTACCCAACTGTTTCATAGTTCATTCATTCCATTCTCACTTCTCGTCATGGTATCGAGCAGGTTCTCGAGTGGGAATACTGCCTAGGGCCCACCACGAACTTATTTTTTCCTTCCCTGCCCGGAGCGCACTTAGCTCCTAACCCGAGTAGCGCCTCGAGCCGCCTTAGTGGCCCCTATTGGCCGCCCTTACTGCCCCTCGAGCCGCCCTCTATGGCCTCGCTTAGGCCGCTACGGCCCCGCTTAGGCCCCTCTACGGCCCCGCTACGGCCCCGTCGGCCCCGCTTAGGCCCCGCTACGGCCCCGCTACGGCCCCGTCGGCCCCGCTACGGCCCCGCTACGGCCCCGTCGGCCCCGCTACGGCCCCGCTTAGGCCCCGCTACGGCCCCGCTACAGCCCCGCTACGGCCCCGTCGGCCCCGCTTAGGCCCCGCTACGGCCCCGCTACGGCCCCGCTATGGCCCCGTCGGCCCCGCTTAGGCCCCGCTATGGCCCCGCTACGGCCCCGTCGGCCCCGTCGGCCCCGCTACGGCCCCGCTACGGCCCCCCTACGGCCCCACTTAGGCCCCGCTACAGCCCCGCTTCGGCTCCGCTTAGGCCCCGCTGCGGCCCCGCTACGGCCCCACTTCGGCCCCGTCGGCCCCTCTACGGCCCCACTTAGGCCCCACTTCGGCCCCGTCGCCACCGCGGCCCCGCCCACCCTTGCGGCCCGCCGCCACCTGCGACCTCGCCACCACCTGCGACCCCGCCTCCCAGCGCCCGCAACGCCGAGCAGCCGAACCGCCGGTCACCTGAGCCGCCCGACCTCCCGAGCCGCCCAGCAGCCGAGCCGCCCGACAGCCGAGCCGCCCAGCACCGTGCAGCCGAGCCGCCCAGCAGCCAAGCCGCCCAGCAGCCGAGCCGCCCGACAGCCGAGCCGCCCCGCACCAGCAGCCGAGCCACCCAGGAGCCGAGCTGCCCTACAGCCAAGTCGCCCGACAGCCGAGCCGCCGAGCAGCCCGATCGCTCCACCTACCTGGTAAGAGCACAATCTCTGCCACTGCATTGCCCCACCTCCGGCTGTTATGGCTTCCCCTAGCGTTCTCACCTTTGACGCTGAGGGTCGGGCAGTGGACTTTGAGGTCAGGGTAGATGATATGCAGCTTTTCCTGCAGTGCGATAGGGCAGACGGCCTCTCCCTGTTTGACCTCACTTCTGGTGCCTTCCCTGCCCCTGCTGCTGATGCTGACGCCACTGTTCGCTCACAGTGGGCCACACGTGACGCTGCTGCTCGCCTTGCTGTGCGCCGCCACTTACTGACCACTGAGCGTGCACACTTTAGCCAGTACAGGAGTGCTCAGACCTTGTACGACGCTGTAGTTGCACGCTACTCTTCCCCTGCCACTGCTGCACTAAGCCGCCTCATGCTACCGTACCTCTTCCCTGACCTTGCTGCCTTTCCCACTGTTGCTGACCTCATTACGCACCTCCGCACTAGTGACACTCGCTACCGCGCTGCGCTTCCTGCTGAGTTCTGCGCCAAGAACCCCCCCCATGTACATCACCCTCTACTACATAGTCACCCATCTCCCTGACTCTCTCTGTGTAGTCAGGGACCACTTCCTCTCTGTTTGCCCCACCACTCTCACCGTTGACCTCCTTGAGAAGGCCCTCCTAGCGATAGAGAAGAGCATAGTCGCTGTAGGAGCCTCTCGTGGTGACCCTCGCACCCCCGTCTTTGAGGGGTGTTCTCCCTCCCCCCTCTTGCCCTCTGTTGCCTCTGCTGCTGCGGCCGACCTCGTTGGTTTCGAGTCAGTCGGCGTTGCGTCTGCCCCGAGCGGGAGACGCCGCACCGGCAAGGGCAAGGGGGGCAAGGGCACTGGAGGAGGTGGAGGGGGCGGTGGAGGTAGTGGTGGAGGCGGTGGAGGGGGTGGCGGCAGCGGCGGCAGCAGTGGAGGTGGCGGAGGCGGTGGAGGTGGCGGAGGGAGCGGAGGCGGCGGAGGTAGTAGAGGAGGCGGAGGTGGAAGTGGCGGCGGAGGCGGCGGAGGAGGCGGCGGCGGCGGAGGCGGCGGTGGTGGAGCGAGTCGTGACTCTGCGTGGAGGAGTGGCGCCGGTGGTGGTCAGCGCCAGCAGCAGCAGCGGAGTGGTGTGACCCTGTCCCCTCAGCAGCTTCGTGAGTGGTACACTGCACGCCTGCGCGGTGGGGGTTTTGGTCCCTGCTCATACGTTCTCCGTACCGGCGACCGCACTAGTGAGCAGTGCGGGGGTCCGCACTCCACCCAGCGCTGCTTTGGTCGCCTGACGGACGCGTGGCGTCGCCAGTTCCCTGAGGCGTCAGAGATCCCTCGCTGGGGAGATCTAGGCTAAGGCCGGGGTTGCTATCTTTGATCTTGACTTGCTATTCTTGCTGCCATGTATGCTGTTGCTGATAGTGTTGAGGGTGCCTGTTACCTGTGTGTACCACCTGACCCGGGCATTGAGGCTGCTGCGCTAGGTGCTGGTGAGACTGCTGCTCTAGGTGCTAGTGCGTCTGCTGCCCCAAGTGCCAGTGCGTCTGCTGCCCCAGGTGCTGGTGAGTCTGCTCTCTCAGGTACTACGTCGGCTAAGGCCTTCCACACCTTCACCCTGGACTCGGGTGCGTCCCGCTCCTTCTTTCGAGACCGCACCACTCTTACGCCGCTTAGTCGGCCGGTTGCAGTCTCCCTGGCAGACCCCTCTGGGGGTTCTGTCCTTGCTAGCTTCTCCACTGTCCTTCCGTGCCCTGCAGCCCCCTCTCGCACCCTGTCTGGTCTCTACCTCCCCTCGTTCTCTACGAACTTGGTGAGTGGAGCGGACCTTCAAGATCGAGGGGTTGACCAGTTCACTCATGCGAGTCAGCGAGTGACCCACTGCACGTGTGCTCGGATAGGCCGACACTTGGTGTGAGAGTACGACGGCTTATGCCAGCTATGCTTGCTTGCCTCTACTTTATCATGCTATTTCTAGCATAGGATAATCATATGCATGCATGAATTGCTTGATTTCCTAGGCTAGGTGCTTTCCTATATTTTATTATAGTTATAGCACCGAGCTAGGTTGCGTGCACCGAATTCTGGCTTTTCGGTTGCCACCGAATTGCCTTCTACCGAATTCAGTAAGGATCTGTTCGGGACGCTTCGCGACCCGCAGAACCTTCGCGTAACACCTGGTTACGGGGCCTTGTGTCGAGCCTATATATAGCCTCCTGTTGTACCCAGGTGATCATTCAATTCAATTTGAATCATCTTTTCTGAGCTCGATCCCTGATCCTCACACTTGGCCACGTTCACCCGTCGGCCAGGGTCGAGCCTGTACACCCTTACTGCTGAGTCTCCTCCTACTGCTAAGTCTGCCCAAGTAGCTGCGTCGAGTCAGGTGTTTGCTGCGGCGTCCAGGTCTGGTCCTGAGTCTGCCCCCTGCTCGTGTCGTCTGCTGTCCCACCAGACTCTCCTTTGGCACCACCGCCTTGGTCACTGTCAAATCATAATGTTCTGTAGGCTGTAGTGGGGTAGCCTATATGGGGTACACATTTCTAGGGTTGCATATTTGTACCACATTCCATTCCTTAGTGCATCATTCTCTCGTTTCAGTTTTCTCATGGTATCGAGCAGGTTCCCTCGTGGGAACTGTGCCTAGGGCCCACCAAGTCGAATTTTTTTTTTCCTGCCCGGAGCGCGCTCAGCCCGAGTCGCGCTCCCCTCTCTGACTTCGTCGAGCCGCCCTAGTGGCCAAGTCGCGCCGCCTTAGCGGCCCCTGATTCGTTGCCCTAGCAACCCCATCGCCCTACCTACGGCCCCGGCCCCGTCGCCCTACCTGCGCCTCGGCCCCGTCGCCCTAACTGCGCCCCGGCCCCGTCATCCTATCTGCGACCCCGGCCCCGTCGCCCCACCTGCGACCCTGGCCCCGTCGCCATACCTGCGGCCCCGGCCGCGTCGCCCTGCTTGCGACCCCGGCCCCGTCGCCTCACCTCCGACCCGGCCCAGTCGCCCAACCTGCGGCCCGGCCTCGGCCCCGTCGCCCTACCTGCGGCCCGGCCCGGCCCCGGCCCCGTCGCCCTACCTGCGCCCCGGCCCCGTCGCCCTACCTGCGCCCCGGCCCCGGCCCCGGCCCCGTCACCCTACCTGCGTACCGGCCCCGTCGCCCTACCTGCGGCCCCGCCGCCCTACCTGCGGCCCACCCGCCCTACCTGCGGCCCCACCGCCCTCACCTGCGGTCCTCGCCGCCCTTACCTGCGGTCCCCGCCGCCCTTACCTGCGGTCCCCGCCGCCCTCACTTGCGGCCCCGCCGCCTTCCCTGCGGCCTCAGTCATCTGCTGCAGCACCGCCCGCCACCCGAGCCGCCTCACCTAGCCGAGCTGCCGACCGCCGCGCCGCCGTACAGCAGCACAGCCGAGCCGCCCAGCAGCTGAGCAGCCGGACAGCCGAGCAGCCGAGCCGCCCTGCAGCCGAGCCGCCCAGCAGCCGAGCAGCCGAGCCGCCCTCCAGCCGAGCCGCCCAGCAGCCGAGCCGCCCTGCAGCCGAGCCGCCGTGCAGCCGAGCCACTGAGCCGCCCGAGCAGCCCCGTCCGGTAAGCACAGCGCCTCTGTCACTGCACTGCCCTTTCCCTACTGTGAGCGCTACTAGTTTACTGTTGTCATGGCTACCCCTAGTGTCCTCGCTTTTGACGCCGAGGGTCGAGCCATTGACTTTGACGTCTGGGTAGATGACCTGCAGCTGTTCTTACAGTGCGATAGGGCAGACGGTCTCTCCCTCTTTGACCTCACCTCTGGTGCCTCTCCTGCTGCTGCTGCTAATGCAGACGCCACTATTCGCTCACAGTGGGCCACGCGCGATGCTGCTGCACGTCTTGCTGTGCGTCGTCACCTCCCTACCTGTGAGCGTGCACACTTTAGTCAGTACAAGAGTGCTCAGACCTTGTACGACGCTGTAGTTGCACGCTACTCCTCCCCTGCCACTGCTGCACTTAGCCGTCTCATGCTACCGTACCTCTTCCCTGACCTTGCCGCCTTTCCCACAGTCGCTGACCTCATCACGCACCTCCGCACTAGTGACGCTCGCTACCGCGCTGCGCTTCCTGCTGACTTCTGCGCCAAGAACCCCCCCCCCATGTACATCACTCTCTACTACATAGTCATTCGCCTCCCTGACTCCCTTCGCGTAGTCAGGGACCACTTCCTCTCAGTCTGTCCCACCACTCTCACTGTTGACCTCCTCGAGAAGTCCCTCCTAGCGGCCAAGAAGAGCATAGTCGCTGTAGGGGCCTCTCGTGGTGACCCGCGCACCCCCATCTTTGAGGGGTGTTCCCCCTTCCCCCTTCTGCCCTCTGTTGCCTCTGCTGCTGCGGCCGACCTCCTTGGTCTTGAGTCGGTCGGTGCGGCGTCTGCCCCTAGCAAGAGACGTCGCTCTGGCAAGGGCAAGGGGGTCAGGGGCACGGGAGGAGCGAGCGGGGGCGGTGGAGGTGGAGGTGGAGGCGGCGGGGGGAGTGGGGGTGGCGGTGGGAGTGGAGGTGGGGGTGGAGGTGTCGGTGGCGGCAGTGGAGGCGGAGGCGACGGCGGCGGTGGCGGTGGGAGCGGAGGTGGCGGAGGTGGTGGCGGTGGAGGAGGCCGCGGAGGCGGCGGTAGGAGCGGAGGCGGCGAAGGCGGCGGAGGCGGCGTGGGTGGCGGTGGAGCTGGTCGCGGGTCTACCTAGAGGAGTGGCTCCGGTGGTGGTCCGCGCCACCAGCAGCAGTGCGGTCGTGAGACCCTCTCCCCTCAGCAAGCTCCGTGAGTGGTACACTGCATGCCAGCGGGGTGGGGGCTTTGGTCCGTGCACCTACGTCCTGCGCACCGGCGACCGTGCGGGTGAGCAGTGTGGGGGTGCGCACCCCACCCAGCGCTGCTTTGGCCGCCTGGCGAACGCGTGGCGTCACCAGTTCCCGGAGGCCACAGAGATCCCTCGCTGGGGCGAGCTGTCAAGGGTGGGAGTTGCCATCTATGATCTTGATTTTGATGCTATCCTTTCTACCAAGTACTCTGTGTCTATTAGTGATGAGGGTGACTGTTACCGGTGTTTCCCGCTCGACCGGGGCATTGAGACTGCTGCTCTAGGTACTGGTGAGGCTGCTACTCTAGGTGCCAGTGAGACTGCTGCTCTAGGTGCTAGTGCGTCTGCGTCCTCAGGTGCTGGTGAGTCTGCGCTCGCAGGTACTTCGTCGGCTTCGGCCTCCCTCACCTTCACACTTGACTGAAGGGCCTCTCGCTCCTTCTTTCGAGACCGCACCACACTCACGCCGCTTGGTCAGCCGGTTGCAATCTCCCTGGCAGACCCCTCTGGGGGTCCTGTCCTTTCTCACTTCTCCACTGTCCTCCCGTGTCCGGCGGCCCCCTCTGGCACCTTGTCTGGTCTTTACCTCCCCTCGTTCTCTACGAACTTGGTGAGTGGTGCTGACCGACAGGATGCGGGGGTTCACCAGTTTACTCCTGCGAGTCAGCGGGTGACCCATTGCTCGGGCGCTCGCACAGGCCGGCACCAGGCCACGTTTACGCGTCGGCCAGGGTTGAGCCTGTACACCCTGACCACTGAGTCTCCTCCTGTCCCTGCGTCTGGTCAGGTAGCTGCGTCGGGTCAGGTGTTTGCTGCAGCGTCCAGGTCTGGCCCTGAGTCTGCCCCCTGCTCGTGTCGCCTCCTGTCTCACGAGACTGTCCTCTGGCACTACCGCCTTAGTCACCCCTCCCTGCCTCGTCTCCGAGGCATGGCCTCCCGTGTCCTTGTCTCTGGTCTTCCCTGATCCCTCCCTCCCCTTCCTCCGGGGCCTGGCCCCACCTGCGTCCCCTGTGTCGAGAGGCGGCTGCGGGCTGCCCCTCACTCCTCCCAGTTTCCTCCGACAGAGGCCCCGCTGCAGACACTTCACATGGACGTTTGGGGCCCGGCCCGCGTCCGTGGACAGGGTCACGAGCGCTACTTCCTGCTGGTGGTTGACGACTACTCGCGTTACACCACAGTCTTCCCCTTGCGCAGCAAGGGTGATGTCACTGAGGTGTTGATCGACTGGATCCGCGCAGCTCGTCTCAAGCTCAGGAAGGAGCTTTGGCTCGGACTTTCCTGTTCTGCGTCTGCACTCTGACCGAGGCGGAGAGTTCTCCTCTGCCCTTCTGCGAGCCTACTGTCGTGCGCGAGGCATCCACCAGACCTTTACGCTTCCGGACTCTCCACAGCGAAATGGGATTGCTGAGCGCCGCATTGGCATGGTCATGGACGTCGCCCGTACGTCCATGATGCATGCGGCTGCCCCCCATTTTCTGTGGCCGTTTGCGGTCCGGTACGCGGCGCATCAGATCAACCTTCACCCCAGGGTCTCCATGCCGGAGACCTCCCCAGCTTTGCTGTGGACGGGGAAGGTAGGCGATTTGTCTGCGTTCCGTGTCTGGGGATCTCAGGCGTTTGTTCGCGACTTCTCTGCGGACAAGCTGTCCCCTCATGCTACTCCTTGCGTCTTCCTTGGCTTCCCCCCTGACGCTCCAGGGTGGCAGTTCTACCACCCCACCTCTCGTCTTGTTCAGTCCTCCCAGGACGTCACGTTTGACGAGTCGGTCCCTTACTACCGCCTCTTCTCCTACTGCACTCCTTCCCTCCCCCCGCCACCGCTCTTCCTTGTGCCACGTCCCCCCCCGGTAGACCCCCTCCCCCCTCAGGGTCCTGCCCCTTCAGGTGTGTCCCAAGTAGACGCAGTCGAGCCTGTCGAGGTTACTTGTGACTCTGGTGCTGCTGAGGTTGCTGAGCCTGGGGGTGCTGACTCTGGGGGTGCTGAGTGTGTGGGTGCTACGCCTGGGGTTGCTGAGCCTGAGGGTGCTACTACTGGGGGTGCTGAGTCTGGGGTGCTGAGCCTGGGGGTGCTACGCCTGGGGGTGGTGAGCGTGGGGGTGCTGAGCC